AGAGTTTATTATTTGGTAGACGAAAGCGGAGTACGACCAAAAGCTAAATTCAAGTCGTGACTTTTACTCTCTCAGAACCTAAATTGAGTTCTTGATTATAATGTGGTTATTTGGAAGTGATATTGATGTGCTTGTGCTTTAATGTGGGAGTTTCCGTCATGACAAAAATCCATCTTAAATTGAATATAGACTGGAGATATTATGCCTTCCATTTTTAACTTTCTTTACTTGACAGGTGCGCACATTAGTTAATATATTCCACATACAAAATGTACATGATCTTATATAGACTGATACTATCTCAGTTTCTGAATTCATAATGTTCTCAATTTACAAAAACACTATCTAAGCTTTAGAGAGCATACACAAAAGAATCATCATTTTTTTCCATGAAAATTATCTTTGATCAAAATCAAGCGGTATCAGCGATATTATAAACAAGTTTCTCCCCACTAACCTTGCCCTCCTCCATAAGCTTCAAGCCCTCCAAAACACCATATAGCCCTCCTTTCCCAACCCTGACAGGGTGAGTCTTAATTTTCCCCTGGGCAAGAAGAGGCTCCATCAAGTTAATGAAAGCAGCGATATGAGCTGCATCCTCTGGAATAGGAGGAAACTCGCGCCCAAATTTCCTAAACGCCTCGCCCACAGCAGTGTAGCCCAGAGTCCCCGAATCAACAACATTCTCGCGCTTCGTCTTCGACCCTGTGATAGAGGTATATCTCCCTCCCTCCGTCGACATAGCATTGTCACAGAAATCCGCCCCATCCTCAGTCCCAATACAATCCAGGGCAAACTTCAGCTGGTCACCCGTCGCTTTACGGATCTGAGCCGCGGCCTCCGAATGTTTATAGTCGTACACGCTGTCCGCGCCCAGCCCACGCACAAGGTCAAAGTTATGCGGCGAGCACGTAGTGATAACGACGTAGCCAGATAACTTCGCAAACTGGATAGCCAAAGTTCCTGTCGCGCTCGACCCGCCATAGATAAGCAGTGGGATACCGTTAGGAACAGGCTCGACTTGCGGCGGAGAGAGCTTCAGCGCCTGGTACAGCGCCTGGCCGACAGTGACTATGCCGACGCCTAAGGTGGCAGCCTCTTCGAAGGAGAGGTTTGGCGGGATCTTCCATTGACCGTGCGCCTTTGCGACGATGTACTCTGCGAAGCAGCCATCTTCGTGGTTTGAGTCGTTAGAGCCGTGTGTGATGCCGCAGACGCGATCGCCTTTCTTAAACCCCTTTGTTACTGCTGAACCGATTTCTTCGACGATGCCCGCATAGTCACATCCTACTAGGGCCCCGGGCCCAGAGAGGAATTTGACGTGTTTCCAGTCAGTGGGATTAAGGCCGACGCTTACGACTTTGACAAGGATGTAGTCATCGCGGAGTTCGGGGAGGCGGCGGTTTGTCACGACTTTGGCCTCTTGAGGCCCTGTGATTTCAATTGCTTTTTGAGTCGACATGGCTGTTCTGTTTGATGTTCAAGTCAGGATAATGGTATGATTTGTACAGCTGAGGTTGCATATGTACTGGTTGGCTCAGACGCGTTCCATTTATCAGCCCACATGGTCGGCTGTGCACAGTAATCAAAAAATGCGCCGCATTACCAAGCATCATGACGGGATTAGAAACCACATATTTCCTCATCCAACAGCACTCGTAGAAGTCCACCTCCCGTGTGTACCAAAGCTGTCTTGTCTTGTGGGCGGTATTCGGGGCATCCACGTTCCGTCGGCTAAATAAAACATTGGATCACCGCCCCACATGGTAGGTCAGAAGGTTGAATCAGGCCGTGGCGTCCTGATTTTACGGGGTCGCCCACCGGAGTGATGTGGGCGGCCCTCAGAACATGATTTACAACGTAGCAAAGATAAAAGATAAATAGTACGACTACGAAATGACAAGAAATTGTTCCATCGATAGTTAGTTCTTTTTGTGAGAGGACTTTGTTTCTGTTATGTTGCCAGTTTCGGAACAACTATATAACCAGTGGCACCTCCAAACCGGAGTCACTTCCATCAATGCAACGACGTGTTAAACACAAATTCCGAATAAAGCAAAGTGGTCTCCAGTTGATTAAATCTCCCGACCCTCCTCACGTGTTGATAGATGTTTCCCAAGGAATTGCACAATCACATAGGTAACGACAAAACGAGTCAGAGATAATTTTTTGTTTTAAAGAAAATGGATTATCTATAGTTGTATGGAGCAGTTGGATACCAACAAAGAGGCAACTTCAGGTATTACCCAGAACAGAAACAGATCCCAAGCTTTCCTGTAGGTATCCAAGTACCGATAGAAATTGAGGGAATGGGGGAAGAGAGACGAGAGAGAAAGGGCAGGCGAGAGAGATGTAGTGACGACAAGAGAAAAGCACTAAGAGAAGCGTTTTGGTTAAAATAATGTCAAACTTCCAAATCCAGCACGCATACCACGACCAGTGCAAAGCTGGAACGCCAATATCAGGTCAACATCCAGAGTAGGAACAACATCAAACGGTGAGGTTAGAGCTTTGACTCCAGCTTTCATGCCACCTTCGTCGCCAAGAAGAAAAAGAGATACGAGGTATCATACAGACAAAGAGACATGGAAAATACGAGGAAACAAGGAGAGAATGGGGGCATTGGACAGAAAATATTGAGCTCTACTTACTCGCAGCAACAATAAGGGCACGCCCGGCACCAGCCTTCCCGCTCCCACCACCCAAAGTTAAAATATAGCGTAGCCAACCGAGCTTCAGCTTTTGACCGCTGCGGTCAAAGTCTGGGACTAGATTGTTGGAAGCCTTGACTTTGCTTAGTTTACCAGCATATGGCGGGTAGCGAATAGCAAGTATAGACTCGAGCCAGATAGGACTGCTTGTTATAGGCCGTCGGTGCACCCAGACATCGAAACTAGCACGGCCACGGTAAGCGCCGTGGCCGCTTTCGCCGACACCACCAAAGGGTAGAGTAGGTATATGTAAGGCAGCGTCATTGCAAGAGACGCCCCCGGATCGAGTAGAGGAAATAACTAGGTAGAATAGTCATTAGTCATGCATATTATATATTTCAGGGAACATAGAAAATACCTTTAGCAACATCGGCCCTAGAGCCAAAGGGGTAGAGACCAAGTGGTGTACTCTGCACCGTATTGGCGAGGCTAATAGCCTCGTCTAGGTTCTCGACAGATAGGATCGGAATGAAAGGCCCAAAGCTCTCCTCTGCGCAAAGGGAATCTTCGACAGAATACACCTGGACAACTGTAGGCTCAATAAAGAGCTCTTCCTCGTCTAACGTACCCCCAAGGAGAATCTTGCCTTTGCTATTGTCAAGCATAGACTTGAGACGCTGGAAATGGCCTTTGTTGATAATGCGCGAGTAGTCCGGAGAACTTTTAGCGCCATTAGGATAGAAGGCCTTATAAGCCTTCTTAAACTCCTCAACCACTCGAGGCACAAGTGTTTTATCGACAAGGAGATAATTCTGAGAGGTGCAAAGTTGGCCGGCGTTCACGGTTTTTCCCCAGAGCATACGACGCGCAACTAGACGGGGATCAGCTGTCTTACTGACTATAGCTGGATTAATACCGCCTAGCTCCAGGACCACAGGGGTTAAATGAGGTGCTGCTGCTTTAGCGATAATGCGGCCAACGTTAGCACCACCTGTAAAGAAAATTTTGTCCCAGCGCTCAGCCAAGAGAGCCTGGGTCTCAGGTATACTGCCCTGAACAACGGAATAGCAAGAAGGGTCCAGGGACGTCTCGCAAACTTTCTGTATGATGACAGCGCTGGCAGGAGCGTTTTCAGATGGCTTGATGACCACAGTATTCCCAGCCGCAATTGCACCAATGACAGGGCCCAAGGTCAGCTGAAAGGGGAAATTGAAGGTCCTAGATACAATCAATCAGAGGACTTTGGCTCTTTTCCATCCCCAAATTCACTTGCTCGGAAAAATACAACGTACCCGATCACCAATACGCAGCCGAGAGGATCCTTCCGAATCTTGGGCCTCATCAACTTGAACTGAAGATCGATATCAGGGGCTTTCTCATCTCTGGCCCACTTAGGTAGATTGCGAGTGGTAAAGACGATGTCGTTCAGCAGCCAGTCGATTTCGGCGAATTCAGTCTCGAAGCGCGGCTTGTTCAAGTCCTGAGCGCAAGCCCGGATTATTTCATCTTCATGATCTTTTATGCTGCCGAAATTGTCAATGATTCTCTTTCTCTCTTCACGAAGAGTGTTCCGTTAGGTTTACCACGTACGCCCAGTAAAGCTTGTGGAGCTGGATCAGACGAAACTCAATGTCGCGGGTCTTGTGCTCCAGGAATGATTTGCGGGTGGTAGAGATACGTGAGGGGATTGCTTCGAGTGAAGTGAATTGAAGATCTGGAATTTGGTCGTCCATCATAGCGGAAAAAGGTAAAACGGATAGGTGTGTAAATAGACATGCCCTTGTAAGGTCGTGAGGAAAAGCCTCCTTAAGATATTTTTCAAAGTGCGCCACAACGGGAATAGGATTTTAACGGCTCACACTGGAAGCCTAGACGCTAAGATCCATCGTACGAATGTGCGTGGAGATTTTCGGTTTGGTTACGCCTGGTCAGGATATCCTCGTAAAATCGCGACTATTGCATAACGAGGAAATTGTATTTTCGGCTCAATAGTTGTCCCGAAAAGGACAAGATGTTATTATGTAGCTTTTACCGAGGTAGACTCCAATAGGTGTCGATCTTGGAATAAAGTTACACGGGGCGAGGACCGGAGTGGGACAAACCGGATCGTTTATTCAACCGGCCCAACTGCTCAGCCATTCAGCTTCCTTTTTTTTGCGGCAGTCAGGATTTTAATTTCAGTACTCTAATTTGATGGCAGAACCCTCTGACGTTCTCTATGCCCCCCTCTTTTCAGATCTTCCTCCTCTCGCTCACTCTTCTTTTCGTTCCTTTGCCAGGTGTGTGAACGAAAGGCTCATACATATGATGCTGTAAGAGAATTATTTTACCCCTAAAGATATTCCAAAAATGAACAAGCGCATTTTGCATGTTATCACCAATATGGCACATTATGATGATTTATCCCACCCGACTAGCTTGTGGCTATCTGAACTCACCCACGCTTGGCACGTCTTCGAAGAGCATGGTTTTAAACAGAGTATCGTTAGTCCAACGGGGGGTCTATCTCCCTTAGAGCCGCGGTCACTAAAGTTCCTCAATTATGAAAAGACAGCCAAGGCCTGGCGGGCCGATCCAGCTCGCATGTCACTTCTGGAAAACACTGCCCGACCTGACCAGATTACCTCCGCTGACTTTGATGCAATCTATTTCATTGGTGGGCATGGTGTGATGTACGATTTTCCAGACAGCGAAGGTCTGCAGCAGATTACCCAGGAGATTTTTGAACGGGGTGGCGTCGTATCCTCTGTTTGCCACGGTTACTGTGCCCTACTGCACACTAAACTCTCGGATGGGTCGTACCTGGTCGCTGACCGTAAGATAACCGGGTTCACCTGGCGGGAGGAGGTGCTTGCTTGCGTGAACAAGCTTGTGCCCTACAACGCTGAAGAAGAGGTAAAGAAGCGTGGCGCACACTATCAATCGGCTAAGTTGCCTTTCGTTTCTTACACGGAAGTGGATGGAAATCTGGTGACTGGACAGAATCCGGGTTCTGCGAAAGAGACTGCGAGCAAGGTCGTCACCGTTCTCAGCCAGCTACAGCGTGAATCACTGCCCTGTTGAATTTCCGTTGTCGTTTTTCTGGCGGGCGGACAGCATAGATACTCGCCAAACCTACCGACCTTGATTTCATAGGAAATGAGAAAAAGAGAATGATGTTCATCTAGCGTATGTCTATTGTGGGATTAAATCTAAGATACGAATCCTGAAGGAGCGTCGGCGATACGTAGTGCCGGATGTCTTGAACTTTAGTCCTAATAGCTTTAGAAAACTTCAAAAATAAAGGGAAATGAGCAACTTTGTGTAAAAATCAACATAGCATTTCAGAAGGGTCGCGATTCTCTCTGATCAGACACATTTTCAACAGCCTCATCCTCAACAGAGAATGAGCCAGTACTTTCCGTATCATCGTTACCAGACTAGAAGAATCATTGAATGGTAGTGCCATAGTCCCTAAATCTTAACACTATCAAATGCTTTAATGGGGACTGGCATATTCAAGACCATCTGGGCATCCTTGAGTAAATCCATCCGCAAGATGGTCCAGGCGCCCAATTCATTAAGAAGTTCGCTAAGTGGACCTTTGCCTCGATATATGATGACATCACGAGGGAAGAGACGCTGTGCCCCCAGAAGTGGGTTCGTCTGGACTGTCACTTGGTACCATTTCTCGTCGATCTTGTTGATCGCGTTGTTATTGACTATCCGGGATTGCGATGGAATTGTCTTTAGCTCCGGACAGGGCACATCCAGCGCCAAATCAAGCTTCCCATCAGTTGTAATGGTACTAGCTTTGATATTTGCTTCGTCCATATCCAAGCTAATATTGGCGAGCCATTTAGGGAGTTGGTATCCGTATACACCACGTACTCGAGCAATTTCAGTATCAACAGGTAGAGCCAAAACGTATCCATAGAAGGTTTGATTCCATAGCGAGCTTAGCAATTGGGTTGTACTGTAACTGTTTTTACCTGGCTGGCGGACGATAATAGCGATAGAGACCTCTTTATAAGGATCGTTGTCGCAGACGAGGTAGGAATAAAACGTCATTGCCACCAATCCATATCCAGGGAATGCTGTGATGGGCTCTAAAGGTGCTGGGAGCTTCGACTTCAAGTTGTCAAGAGGCGCGAGAAAGAGAAGCTGGACACTGTTCGTGCGGTAATAGAAATTCGGAGCGTATACCTGGCCGACCCTCGAGTCAACCAGTTTCTTTGGAATTTGCCGAAAAAAATCGATGTCTGGTCCAACTGCCGGATCGCTGGCTATCTCATCCAGGTTCGGGTTCATACGATAACGATCGTAATAACCGCCTTTAGGTACATCGACCTTCTGACCTCCAAACTCGACTTGGACGGTGGGATGATCAGAGCTTCTGGTCAGTTGTCAATATGGTTAGTACAATATCAAACGGAAGCTAGGCCTGATCATCACATACGAATCAGACATCTTTGACGATGTTGCAGAAACCATGATGCTGACAATATCCTTTCATCAAAATCAAGACGTGATTGGCTCTTTGGTCAAATATGCGCAGTGAGTGATGACAACCACAAGAAGGACTGAAGTCGTTTTGTAGATAAACTTGCGATGGAAGATGGAACTGTTAAGGAGGCGGCAAGTTTTAAGTTACGAATTGCAACGGAGGTAGATGACGAAACTGAGCGTCCCATACTCCTACCGAGGCAAAATTTCCTAGTATAAAAAGCTAAGTAATGCCAGGTTCCATGGGTACTTTTGAGGCTGAGTCGTGATGAATCATCTTTAATTCAGAGCGGATAGTTAGTTGGTCCGCCGCGCGTCACTAGCATGCCTCCACGGTAGCTCAGGAGGACTAGATCTCTCCTAGATCACAGAGAAAACATTCTATGGACATAGAAGTGGTCTCCTTTCATATGCATCGAATAGCTTGCATATCAGACAAAAATGCCGCGGTCTATCGTCACTTCTGGTGGAGCTATACCCGTGTTTGAAGGACTGCCGAGGGAACGCAGCATGATATGCGAGGTTCAGGCCTCTATGAAAGAAGGGACCCAACTCAAGTGGCACTTTAAATTTAAAGATCTCTCATAGACCATGTGTTGGCAATGCCCTTAACAGCAGCATAGCAGCTGGAGCAAGAATGAAAACTCACTCTGCAACCCCAGCAGTGCATTCGGCTAGCATCTGGGAGATTTTTTTTTTTTGAGCGCCCTTCTCTTCCTTTCCCACGTGATCAAGGCAAGTCAATCCATGATGCTTTTATTCCATAGTCTGGCATTTGTATTATTTTTGTAGAGATATGTTCTGAATCTGTACAGTTATCTTCCGTTCTGCCACCACCGACGCCCAATATACGTACAAACAAGTCCGGCAACGAGCGAAGAGATTTGGCAGAGCCTTAAAATCCCAATGGGGCTGGTGTAAAGGTGACGTTCTCATAGTGATGACCCCAAACGACATCGATACTCCATCCGTTATCTAGGAATGCCAGTTTCTAGGTGGCATCGTGGCCTTGGTCAGTCCCGAGTTGTCGGCCCAGGAGCTTCCCCACCAATTAAAAGGAAGCCATGCAAGAGGGCTTGTGGTTCATCCACGGTGTGCGGTTATTGCTATGGAGGCTGCTCGCCTTGAAAATCTATCCTCTGATTGAATTCTTATTTTGAGGCCCGACAAACTCGTCCCGACATACAGTGGCCTCTCTTCCGTTGAGGATTTCTTGAATGCAACTGAAGATGATATAGACCAGGACACTCATTGGTTGGAAATCGAAGCAGACAAAGATACTGCATTCCTGGTATACTCATCAGGGACCACGGGCAGAGCTAAATGTGCGATGATCTCTCATCGTAACGTCGTGGCCGCTGCCAAGCTTCAAACCGCCATTGATAGTGCCCACATAGACTGGCGCCCGGATCGCACCTTAGCGGTACTTCCTACATATCACATCTTCGGTAAGTAAGTTAAACTCATAAGAATATTGACATATTGTTTCTAGACCAAGCAAGCTAAAAGAATAGGACTTATTTGCCTCGTTTATCTCCCTGTCTATATTGGAACAACAACAGTGTACATGGACAAGTTCGATATTGCCACTTTCTGCAGTTTGATTCAGGAGTATCGTGTCTCCCAAGTCTATGCCGCTCCACCCATCGTGCTTCACCTGGTGAAGAGTAGTCTAGTGAATACCTATGACTTGCGTACACTCCGCATGATTACTTCTGGTGGCGCATCTCTTGCTTCCAGCAACGTCAAATCCCAGTTCGCCAGGCGTACGGATTATCTGAAACAACATCTGTATCTCACATCCAGGTGTGTCATACTGTATATCCCATTAGCGAGTCAGACAACAAAACTCACTGAAACGGAATTCTCAGCGCTGGGACAAGTGGAGGGTTAGTTTAGGCTCGAATGGACCTCCTATTCCCGGAATTGAAACCAAATTTGTCGGTAATGATGGCCGCCAAGTTACAGTGGGTAAGGAAGGAGAGCTTTATGTGCGTGGCGCAACAGTTTTCAATGGTTACCTCGACGAGCCTGATCTCACTGCGGCCTGTCTGACAGCAGATGGATGGCTCAAAACCGGTTGGTGCTTCTTCGTTTTCTTCATTTTCTGCAAGACTTACGCATTATTTCTCACAATCAATTATAGGGGACATAGGATGCGAAGTTGAGCAGGGCAATCTGTTCATAACTGACCGTTCAAAAGATTTGATCAAATTCAAAGGTTACCAGGTAGCACCGGCCGAGCTCGAGGATATCATTATTGAAAACGAGGCTGTGGGGGATGCAACTGTCATTGGCATCATGAACGAGAGTCTTGCAAGCGAGGTGCCGTTGGCTTATGTCGTAGTCAAATCTGGTTACCCGCAGAATCAAACTACGGCGCAAGCGATCCTCAAGCATGTCAATGACCGAACAGTATCATACAAACATCTCCGTGGTGGCATTATCTTTACTGAGATAATCCCTAGAAGTAACTCGGGGAAAGTTTTAAAGCGATTGCTTCCTGATCGGGTATCGGTTAATCTCGTACGTCGAATCGGGGCCAAGGAATACACAAAGTACATGCTGGTGCCTAAGTTATAGTGAAGGAAAACTACTCGCAATCTATGTTGAACAATTAAAATGAGTCGAATCCTAAGTCAGCGACTAGGTGTTGCATTTACTGTAGCCTGCAAGATTCTGTATGATCTGCGGCACGTCCCGCAGATCTCCCAAATTAGTGGGCCGCGCCCTCACTGGAAATTACTGAACCAATGGCTTTCTAAAATATGAATAGTGGTTCTGATGAGTTATATTCTACTGGTAGCATCATCAGCAGCATCAGCATCTTGTGCATGTTAAGCCCCTGAGTCCAATTTACATCTCCTTGGCTTCGATCGAGGGTTCGTCTGGAACTATCAAAGTCGGAGGCCAAAAATGAATAATGAAAATCATATATATGCAGGGATATTACCGGATTTTGAAAATACGTTGGATAGATTTCATGCTATCAAATTCCTGTCAACGTCTGATTCGGCGCCCAATGTTGTATTGACTGGAACCATCTAGCCAGCTATGTGATGTACACTGGTGTAATTGCTTCCTGTGCCAGTCATCCCACATCACCTTGCAATTGACGACGATATTCGAGGCCTTAATAGCTTAATGTATTACTCAAAATAATCGCAGAGTGGGGGGCGCGGTAGCTACAGTAGACACTCCTGGCAAGACTTGAGGAGTCGAGGCTCGATTTTATTATGGCGTAAATATCCTTGTCTAACACCAGATGTAGCACAGCAAGAACATAAGTTGGTTGTTTTTAACGGCAGGATCAAAAGAACAGCATAATTAATAGTGTTGCTGCGACGAAAGTCACCCAAGTAATCTCAAACAAAGGGGGGTTAGACTTGGCATTACAATTGCCGGTCAAAATACTTATGCGATTGGCCCTGACCTCTTCCAGTTCTAGAGAATGGCTCATGCATACACCTCTGCCTTCATATTCCGTGGTATTTTACGACTGTGACGATGTACAAATGACAGAAACTGCGAAATTGAAGGCATTGCCATTCTCAAATAATTGAAATGAGCGGCATCTTTTTTACAAAGTTGATTAGTAGAGCATTTTAGGAAACTGCCAATGTGGTTTGTTTATGAATTTGGTGCGTACTGAATTCCGTTACTAGTAGATTTTGTGGTAGTTGATTTAAGTTACAACGATCAGTATCCCAGATACCAAGAGCAAAAGACGCGATTCATGACTTGATAAAATCCAGAAGATCTTTGTTAACTTCATCAACATTGATGTTGTGAATAGCGTGAGATCCTCCCTTGTAAATTTTCAGGCTGCCTTGAGGGAGAAGTTTTGCCGACTTCAGTCCAGATGCTTTGATAGGAACAACTTGGTCATCATCCCCATGCAGAACTAGCACTGGGATATCAATCTTCTTCAGATCTTCCGTGAAGTCAGTTTCCGAGAAATCCTTGATCGAGTCGTACGCTGACTTGAAGCTGGTATTCATCCCCTGCTGCCACCAGCTACGAATTTGGCCTTCGCTCTTATGTGCACCAGGTCGGTTAAAGCCAAAGAACGGTCCGCTAGGGACATCCAAGAAGAACTGCGCACGGTCTTTGCGCATCGCCTCTCGAAACGAATCGAAAACGGATTTGTCAATCCCGTCGGCGTTGACACTAGTCTTTACCATCAGAGGGGGCACAGCACCGACTAAAACGGCTTTCTTGAAACGACCTGTGCCATGTTTTCCGAGATAATGGGTCACTTCCCCTCCACCGTGAGAGTGGCCAACCATCACAGCATCTTTGACCTTCAGATAAGCAAATAGTTCCTCGAGGTCATCGACAAAGGTGTCCATGTTGTTCCCATCCCAGGTCTGAGTAGAACGCCCGTGGCCACGGCGATCGTGCGCAACAACACGGAAGCCTTGTTCTGCGAGATACAGCATCTGATTTTCCCAATTGTCACTGCTCAAGGGCCAACCATGGGAGAAAGTAACAATGGCTCCTCCGGGATTGCCCCAGTCCTTATAAAAGAGTTCAGCTCCATCTCGAAGCTTCAAATATGGCATGATTGTTCACAAGGGGTGCTCAAACTTCCTGAAAAAAAGAAGGCTGTCATTCAGAAACTTACTTTTCAGTGAGTAATATGAGTGACTTTATATGCGGAGTTGGTCTGTTCGCAGTGTATATGTATCGGGGCTTGCGGAAGTTATGACGTTATTAAATGCGTCACTAGTACTATGGCCCGGGGGGGGCGCGAAATCCATCCAGACTCTAAAGGTTGCTAACCCAATCGCTAGGGAGGCCATATCTCTGATGGCTCTCGAGTTAATAAACTGCGGTTCACCCAATACCCAGTCTCTAATATTATGAAACCCGTACATGCATACCTCTCAGAGCATCAAAATATTGTGCTAATAGATACCTCGGCCAATACTCAAGTGGGTCTTGCTAAGCTTCTCGCCGCTTCGATTACTTTTCTACTTCCGCTCCCGTCGGGCAAATTGAAAGCTCCGAGGCAAATCCCAGACGTCACTTATTAAACTGCTTCAACCTCGATCGTAACAAATTAACTAGCGAACTGGTTATTAATTCTTGGTTAATGGCAACGATGCTTTCGATTAATATTCCAAAACATACCACGCCCGATCAGTATGAGTTGGGCGAAGTCCCATCTCTAGTCGTGGAGCGACCCACAGACATCCTGATCAAGGTCCAGGCCGCGAGTATCAATCCGATTGACGTTAAAAAGGCATCGGGAGCAACCAAGGCTGTTCTAAAAGATAGGTTAGAGCTTTGCGTTCCTCTATTTCTGACCCGTGATTCTGATTTCGTCGTGCTTAGCTTCCCGTATAAAATCGGATATGACTGTGCGGGTACAGTTATTGAGACTGGTTCACAGGTTACTCGCTTCAAGGTTGGTGACGAGGTCTTTGTTCGATTACCAGAATGTCATCGAGGTTCAATGAGTGAGCTGGCGCGTTCGACTGAAGAATTTGTCGCTCTGAAACCGAAGGGTCTTTCGATGGAAGAAGCGGCCTCGATTCCATTGGCGTCTATGACGGCGTTGCAGGCGCTGAGAGGTTATGAAGGGGATCTTGAAGGGAAGACCGTTTTCATACCTGCTGGTCGTAAGTTCATTTTCTGTTGACATTGATGTATACGATTTTAGTTGATGCTTGGATGCTGACTCTTTGATAGTTGGGGGCACTGGTCTTTTCGCATGTCAGTTAGCGAAGAACATCTTCAAAGCCGGGAAGGTGATTACTACAGTTTCAACAGCAAAAGTACCCAAGGTCAAAGAACTTCTAGGCGAAGGCGTCGTGGACGAGAGTAAGTGCATACCCCCTTTTTTCCCGGTAAACAATCTCGAAATTAAAGCTTACATCTGTCGCAGTCATTGATTACAGGAAATCTGATCCGAAGAATGTAATTCCGCCGCGCTCTGTAGATTTCATCTTCGATACCACAGGCAATGCGATGGATTATCTATCTCTGGTCCGAGAAAAAGGGGCCATCATCACGGTCTCGATACTCACATCGGGAGATGTTCTCCAGAATTCTAGCGTCATGCGCCGATCCCCGGATAAACAGGACAAGGCCACTGTGCCATTCCCTATCCGTATAGCTTTGAATATCATGGATCGAATCCGGGTAGCGCGGGCATCGCGTTATGGCGTTAAGTATGCTTCTATCTTTTTGGAACCGAATGCCACCGATCTAGATTCTATTAGGGGGTGGGTGGAGGCTGGAAAATTGAAGACGATCGTGGGGACAAGGGCGAGTTTTAAGGGGATTCAGGCGGTTAGGGATGCTTGTCAGGTTGTTTACGATGGGAAAGGTGGTGTTGGGAAATCTGTGATTGTATTTGAATGATGCGTTTGAAATAGCTTTGGAAGGGCAGTGTCGAACTACTTATTAGTACTAATACTTAAACAACTACCAACAAATACGAAAGTTTCATAATAATATATCAACTCCTTTAGGATCAAGCAAACTAGACATCGGTAGACCACATTCTGGGTTGGAGAAGCCGACCCAAAAGCCAACGTACAGCCCCATGAGTCCAAACCAGAAACCCACCACAAACCCCTCAAACCCAAAATTATATGAAACTTCGGTCCTGACATTTATGAAATAGATTAGCAAGCAGTTCTAGAAGTCTGTTTGGCTGATTTATATTTAAATGAGAACCGTTGTAATATTCCATGTTCTAACATTAGGTTCCGAAGTGTCTATAACGGAATTGAGATGAGTTGCCGGATCAGCCAAATACTGGACGGTGGTATCAAGTGGAAGAAGATTTGGTCTCTATAGCATAAATATGACCATCGGAGATCGAATTATATATGTCTTTTCTTTTACTGTAGATTAATGTTTATGGAAGGAGGTTGATGAGCCCGGGACGGGAGATTTGTGAATAGAGACAGCAACAAGATAAAAGAACAAAAAGCCAAAACAAAAAGCCAAAACAAAAATCTGGGTTTATGATATAATTATACAGCGGTCGCTAAGTTTTGCTTGCGAGAAAAATTAACCTTGAGCAGCTTTCCAAGACGAGTAATGGTCGGCCAATGTTTCCTCCAAAGGTCGATAAATGACATTCAACTGATCCAAGCTAGCATGATTGTCGATATCAAAAGGAATACCGAGATTCAGCCTCAGCCATTTCTGGCTTAAGCCGAGCACAGGCCCTGACATACGGACAAGTGCGTTTGGAATTTTGTTTCGAGGAATCCGAGAAGACTGAGTGATAGATCGAAGCATACGCGAAAGTTCCACGAATCCATATGTTCTGCTATGCGCCAGAATGTAGCGCCCATGAGCGTCCGGATTTCGAGCAGCTCGAATATGGGCGGTTGCGACGTCTCGTACGTCGACGATTGCAAACCACATGTCGGGCACTCCTAGAAAAAGCTGACCGCGTAGAAGTTGGTCAAACAAAGATAGACTGCCAGATTCTGATGTTGGTGATAAGGATGGTCCTAGTACGAGGCCTGGGTTGATAGTCACGAGGTTCCAGCGTTTCGGGGATGGCTGTTCCTGATACATTTTCCAAGCTTCTTTCTCAGCAACAACTTTGGAATATGGATATGCATTATATTCAACCGAACTGGTTGTATTAAAGTATTCGGTGGAAAGTCTTTTATCTTTCATATTCAATACGTCTGCATTGTCACCGAAGATAGCCGCCACGGATGAAGTGAGGACGGCAAGTTTGACCGTCTCGCATTTTTTGACTGCATCGAGGACGTGCTGTGTCCCCTTGAGAGCGGGCTCAACGACTTCTTTCTGTCCGTCGCGAATCTTGTTCTCGATGAAGAAAGGCGAGGCAATGTGATAAACAACCGAACAGTCTTTCATTGAAGCTTCGAATGAACCAGCCTTCAGCAAATCCGCTTCGAATAATGTTAACTTTCCGGGCCATTTCTCTTGCATATCAAGTAGGTGTTTGATTTTCTTTCTGTTTTTCGTGCTGCGAACAGTCGCGTGGACTTCGTTTCCCGTTTCGAGTAACAGTTGAACAACATGGCTTGCGATGAAGCCGCTCGCGCCTGTGATGAGGGAGATGTCCTGTGTCATGTTTGGATTTGTGAGTGCCAATGGTTGCAGATTTGCACTGATATAATGAATGCTGCATATAATGTAAACCCATATTAATATATATAAATAAGTCGGTTATTCGGTTTATTTTAAATGATTCATCGCACTGATTCAAGGTCCTGATTCGTGGCAGTGGAGTAACAAGGGTGAATATGAATGGTCGGGTTGCAGATTGCGCCGATTCCGGTTGGTGGGGATGGGATCGGATTGCAAACTGTATTTAAACTAAGTACTTTGGTCTTTGTATCATCCTTGGTTGTTGAAGTGTGTTGAGCAGGTGAAATCCTGAGCCGAGCTTAAGATCATCCAGAGATGGATTACTGGTGGTACCATTACAAGGCCATGGGGGCAGATTTAGTATATACAAAGTTATATAATGAAAAGCATACACAGCGTAACTCATTGCTGCGAATCACATTTGACAACAAGAGAAGCAGGGTGCACAGCGCTATTAGTGGCTAGTGTGACATTAATATCGTGATTCGACATTTTTTGTGGGGGGGTCAAAATATCTTGAAGAACGGTATTCGGTGCAATCGCAAACCCGTTGTAGCCGGGAGGGTCATGTCAGTTCTACCTGGGACGTTCTTACCATTTCTGTCTTAGCGCCAAAATCTTAAATCTTCTTCCGAATCTGCATTGAAGCAGTGGCGATTCGACTTCATGGGAAATGAACCGGACCGATTATCTATCCGTGCATTGGCTTGATGATATTCTGTGTTTTTCCTTGCAAAATAGCTGCATAACATGAATTTAAGATGTGAAACTTTCATGCCGAGGTTAAATTTTGACCTTAATTACAACCGTCGGTTTCAACTTCATTTATATCCAAATCCCCAAGATCTTTCATACTTGCTCGAGTATTGAGTAAATGCAAAAAAACTTAAAGTATCTCGAGCAGGTAGTCAAACGGCACTACCCTAGTGCCCATTGAAACAACAATGCCAGACTCTACTCTCCTCAAGGTTGCCGGATACGGCTCTCTCCTCGTTGCTATAAAGCACGCAGTTAGTGGGCCCATAATCGCCAAAAACCCCGAATTTAAAGAAAAAGATTAACTAATGCCAATTTGAATCAGACCGCAGGAAAAGAATTCCAATGTCTTCGTCAATTCCGAGAATTGCCAAATATCGCATACACACGTAGCACGGTCGGATGGTATCAAGGAAGTGCCTATTTAGTCTTGACAGGTATTTTATCAATCTTTCCCCGAGTTCTCTGATAAAAATGACCTTTTGTGCTGCGGTGGTAACGATTTGTTTAGCTTTGCTGAATCTCAGCTGGGCGAAGAATCCCGAGTCTTTGAGAGAACCGCTTCAACGTACCATGGCTGCTTTGCTGGTTCTTATTGCTTGGGCTAGTTCTGCTTGGTATCTTAAGAGGGGGGTTAAATCGAGTGGGGTCCTAACGGCTGTAGCGGGTATACTCCAGGCATGGGCGGCTGTTCATTGAGTATCTTTGGAAACTTTGTGTATACTAGTGGATGAGATACTTTTCAGGAAGGGGGTGAGATATATCTACTCTCTAAAGTACCACTTGGAGTATTCTGATTGATTCTCGAATATAATATTTTTATTCCATCGTAGATAACCCATCGCGCGGTCCGGGATGCAGATATAGTAAGTATCCTGGACTAAAACTGACTGTATACCTAGACTAGTGTAGTAGTTTTCTTTTTTTTTTTTTTTGAATTTTTCTTTTGATTAGCCAACGAGGACTTGGCTCTCTAGATAAGTGCCACTTAAAGTTCATAGAATATTTTGGGTTCATAATTTTTATTGATCATGCTGGCGTAATTCTCTGGGGTGAAAATGATCTAAAATGTGATATTGCCGACGATTTGACCGGAGCCTGCATGTTCTGCGAGGTCCAGAGAGTAATCAAATGAATTGCCTCCGACGACTGGCTCCGCAACAAAACTAGATTCACGGCATTTTCGAGCGGATAGATTGTTGCCCCGATTGTGTGATTAAGGCTTGTTCCCTCGAAGTTAGAGTGGGCCTTGCACCCCTGCATCTCGATGCCTTTGTCTGGTCTATGGAGATATTTGCATGATTGTCTAGATCTCAGTATGACTTGAGGGGGATTCGCGCCGAGGCATTTGGGGAGCCTCGGCAGCTCGGGAACTGGTTCCAAATCGTTTCTTTATCTCTATTAGTAAGTACCAGGATTGCTTCCATAAATTAATCCAGACCCATGCATCAAAGAATCAAGTCTTCACAGTCGGGGCCTACGTTTTTCATGATGGGACCTGATATGAAAAATTCACTGGAGCTGCCATGTGGTTTAGTTCTGCCCAACCGTCTTGTAAAGGTAGGAACACATTGGAAACGCAGGAGCAATATCGCTCCAATTTTGCAATACTAGCTGATTGGTTCGTTCTAGGCCTCTATGGCCGAAGGCCTGGCAGAAAATAAGCATTTGCCCGGTAAGCGGATTTCTCGCGTCTACGGAGAATGGGCAAAGGGTGGATGGGGAGCCCTTCTCACAGGTAAGCCGATACTCCATATTCCTAAGAGCACTGGATATCGAATAAATTCATTGTGGCTGACGCGCGAAAAGGAAATGTGCAAGTTGACGTTCGTCATCTCGGTGGTGGCGGTGATCTGGCAACGCGTGAGTCTCACTTAGCTGATGAGGAGGCACTGAATGCATGGAGACAATACGTCAACGCCTGTCAACAACATGGCACGCCGACGATCGCTCAGATTTGTCACCCTGGTCGTCAGTCACCTAGGGGTACAGGTGAAAGGGGTCTTTTCGAGAAGCCTATAGCGCCGAGCGCCATTCCCCTTGATATCGGCAAGGGCTGGGCTGCTGCTATCGTCCGGAATGTCGCTTTCGGGGTGCCACGGGCCATGAACCATTTTGATATCAACCTGGTAACTGCACAATTCGTAACTTGTGCGCGTGTGCTAGCACAAATTGGTTTCTCCGGTATTGAGATCCATGCGGCACACGGTTACCTTCTGTGTGAGTCTTTTCCTTCCCATTCCTCGAGCGACAGGTCTGATCTGACATCGTGAGGCAGCGCAATTCCTCTCAGAACAAGTAAGTCATCACTGGCGGATAGAAATTTTGTGATCTAATGTGGGACTTCCATCTGTAGAGTAACACTCGTGATGACCAATATGGTGGTGATGCTACACGGCGCGCCCGTATTATCCTTGACATAATCTATCAAATTCGAAAGGCTGTGCCGAAGACATTTTGCGTTGGGATCAAGTTGAACTCTGCCGATAGCAGCTCGGCACAGTTTGAAGATACCATGACCCAAATTGGTCTTTTTGTCGATGCAGGTGTGGATTTTCTTGAAATATCTGGTGGAAGCTATGAAGACCCGACGGTACGGTATACGATCTTCATCAATTCTGGAGGCTAAAGACAGTACCGGATGCGCTATGACTACCTGTGTCGCTCCACGACTTCTGACCCAGAAGGCCTTATGCAAATGCGCTAACTCCGATAATTAGATGATGGGCCGCGGGTTGCGAGAAGAAAGTAACAACCCCGAAAGCCTAAAGAAAGAATCTCGGGAAGCCTTCTTTTTGGACTTTGCAACGCAAGCAAGGAAGCGGTTCCCGGGTCAAATCCTCATGCTCACTGGAGGATTTCGAACCCGGAAAGGTATTGAGTCCGCACTAAAGGCTGGAGTCTGCGATCTTGTTGGTATAGGCCGCCCAGCGGTCCTCAACGTAGACTTTCCACGCCTCATGATTGACGATGCTGTATACACCGATCAGCAAGCCCGGGTGGTCTTTCCCAAGGTCCAAGTTCCATTCCTGGCCAGGCTACTCAACATCAAAATGTTGGGTGGAGGTGCAGAAACAGTGAGTTGATTTTGACAATTCTTCGTCTTCACCAGATTCTGATTTGTTTTAGCAATTCTTTCGGAGTCAAATTCAACGAATAGCTGCTGGAAACACTCCACGGCGCCCATTATTTCATTCTCTACGTTCTCTAGTATTAATCAGAAGTCGACTGTCTTAAAAGAAATCTGGAGACAAGCGAGAACAATACTGTCCAGGCGACGTTGCCTTTTGGCTCAGCCCGCCGATCTGAGGCTTCTTACGTTGCAAGTGGGGGGTCGCCCCGGGGGTCGCCCCTAAAACGGGGGCCGAAAACAAAATTCTTATAGTTACTTAAGCCCCATCCCATCTTCTTACTTTTAACTCACGATCATCATTCTGCACAATGGATTCCTCCGAATCAATTAATGGTTTTCAAGGGCTGCCAACGGAGCTGTGGGAATCAATTCTATGGCAAGTCGATCCTCGAACGCTCCTCGCATCTGCCACACGAGTCTGTCATGCCTGGGCCACCCTGATTCAAAACTCCACTGCCCTTCAACAACTATTATTCTTTGCGCCAGACACTCGAGTTCCAAGTGATGAGAAGACCCATTGCTCGCTTCTGGTAGATGCTTTCCCGTCGGTTCTCTTCAAGCACGCAAAGAGAGGAGATGATTATAATTTCACAATAGCAACGTGGGATTTTATCAAGCACCCAGAGAAACAATTAGCATATCTGCGACCCGAGGCCAGTTGGCGACGTATGCTCGTGCAGCAGCCGCCGATATACAGAATTGCTATCTGGAATGAGTCGTTCGCCACTATTCCATTTTCGCAATATTATGAGATGCCGGTAAGTTGGGTACCTCAGGAATTTTGGATTGATGGAGCTATGAACTGACAATCCCTTGATTCAGGCCGATCCAAGGCTAACAGAGACCGGTATCCGAATGGAGGTCATATTCGAGGAAATGTTTTTCAACGAACTTCTCGAAGTTGACGACGAGCTTCAGGTCATTTGGTGGAATCATTTTACTCCTACGATGCGAAAGAAAATTGACGCACTTCAGAAGCTGCGGAATCGTAATCTTGAAGCTAACCTTATCCTCAATAATGTTTCTTCAGGTGAGGATCAATCAATCAATCAATCAATCAAAGTTCAATTAACCTGTTGCAGTCTAACTAGTTGCGTATGACTATGCAGGCGCTTCATCCAACTGAAGCAAGAACTCGAAGCCAAACGCCGAGCTGGAACCACATAGTGCATCCCATAGAGTATACAGATACTGATCGTAAAGAGTGCGGAATCAGCCCATTCCTGTAACCCGTAGCCCCATAAGTCCAAACCCACCCCAACCCATACATAAGAAATTAACATATAATGATAGTTGTGGAGTGCACCCTCCACCTTCCAACCCCCACTTCGCTCTCTCTCTCTCTCTCTCTCTCTCTCTCTCTCTCTTTTTCTCTGTACCCTCCCCTGCCTCAGTTTCAATTGATGGTGATGTTGTTCTGGCCATTTAACTGGCATGCTTGTCGACTCTGGCTGAGTTCTCGTTTCATAGCATCATTTGTCGTCATTGGCTAGTACCTATCGTCTTCCACACCTAGCTCCATTGCCGCGAGGCCTGTCGGTTCGTCGTTGTCGCTGTCCTCCTCGATCCCAACGTGTTGAAACTGCTAGAGGAGACCTGTTCGGTGCATAAAGTTGACCACGTAGCGGATAGCCTGCGGGTTAGATATGATCTTGTTATAGTCTGTCTCTGCGAATCCAATCCCGATTCTATCTAGCTGCTCCCACAATTTCGTGCGCGGAATGATATACCGTGGACACTATATTAAAATATGCCTTAGTGTTTGTGAGCCCTTATCACAGCTACACCGGTTAGTCTCGGCTTCTTTGATCTTGAATAGGAAGTGTCGAAGTCCAATCCGCATTGTACGCATCTGGATCAAGATCGCGTACTGTGGTTTCGACAGCCCTTCGTATAACCGGAGGGTCTTCTTGTTCGGCGCCTATACTAAGCGCTTCGTGGGTACGGAGGTTGTCTCTCGCTCCTATTACTTCTCCCACCGCTCTCTGATTCGTTAACGTACCGCTTTCTTAGTAGCTACAGCGAGACGGATTATCGGATTATCCGGCCCGGTCGTAACTCCTATCCCCGCACTAAGAAGCGCTGTATTTTTCGCTTCTCTATCAGCAAATTCATTGCCGTCCATACCAACGTATATAGGGATCCACCTAATGGTAATGTTCGTTAGGTATTGCTGGGTCTGGTTCCGCGACCGGATAGTCCGTACGTGATCGTATATCAGTCTAAGCACGTACTAGCTAGATGGTCGTTGTGGGTTTCGAACTACCTAGATAGCAGCCTAGCTGTCGGAGAAAATAGTCACTTCTCGAGCCGTCGATCGTCCGTTGTTAAGATTTGAATTCGTATTCCCTTCCTTAGTCTTAGTAAGCGCTATCTTAATGCCGCTGAGCTCGGTAGCGTACACTATAGACTAAGAGTCCTTCCTAAGATATCGTCTTTATAACGTTATCTCCGGGTATTGGCTTGCTACTAATACACTAATATGCCCTACGAATCCGCTTCCGTCTATAAAAATCATTTTAGTTCGTCCTTAGTTGTCATCGTCGTATATAGTACCTTTATGAATACCATCGTGGGTTTTTCGAGCCGCTTCTTGATTCTTAATAAAGTAGGGAATCGGTGCTTCCTATAGAGCAAGAACAAATACACACTTCTCCTCCTATTTTTTATATTATAGGCGGAGCGTTTTCCACGCAATTACTTCCGTCGGGGACCATCCCCCGACCTTCCGCTCCCTTGGTTTTCTAGCCTCTTTGGCAATTTATAGGCATGCCTATTGTAGGCTAGTAAGGATTCGTATCGCCGTTTCTTCGACGATCTATTAGAGTCGTAGTTTGATAGGAAGGATATATAGTTCTATATCAAGTGCTACCCCCGCTATTCCACGGAAGGCACTACTAATCAAGATTGCCGTACGCTTTTATATTTTTATAAGTTCGTTAGTGAGCTTATCGAGGTCCCCCCTTGGCATAGCCCTGGCCTCTAGGTAGTACCACGCTAACAGTCCCTATAACGTCTATAGAATGATAACTACTTAGTATATCTTCTGTATTACAATTAATAATAATCCCTAAATAGAGCCTAAGATTCCGCGGAGTACTTCGAGACTACTCGCTCCCTTCGCTAACATTTTCTTATAGTATATCGTGAAATTGAGGTGTTTGTCGAGCTAGACCCCGAGGTATTTAGTAGTATACGACGGCGCGAGAATGGTTAGTATTAGGTCTCCCGGGATGATTACCGGCATACCGTTATAGCTAGCCAGATCATCCGGTATCTCCTAGATACCTATCTCTTAGACCGGTCGTATTATGCCGGTGTCCTAGGTCGGTGTTATAGCGCTGGCGGATTTCTAATTGGTGAAATGGATAAGTTCAAATTTATCGGGTACGAATTTTGCTGCATACTTGTTAGCCCAGGTAGCCGCCCGTTGCAGTACCTTCTCTAGCAATTAGACGTTCTCTTTATAGCTATTTAAGACAGCTAGAATACAAACGTCGTCTACCCATCTATATGCCTCACTCTCTCTATAATATAGACCCCTTAATATATACGCTCGGACTAGTGGTATATTAAAGAGGAGGAATAGGATCGGCGAGATTGGTAAGCCCTACGGGATACTAGTTAGTATAGGAAATGCTTCACTTAGGTACCCGTTCGGTAGCTTGATTCGTATACTCCTACCGGTAAGGAATGACTAGACCCATAGGGTAAGTACACCGAGACCTAGTTGCTATATATTATATAGCAATCTCTCGTAGGATACCATATCATATATACCGGCTACGTCGAGAAGCAACATACTTACTATCTTACCTTCTCCCTAGGCCTAGTGGACTCGTCTAAGGATCAGCTAAATTGCATAGTCAACGGAGACCCCTCTTCGACCTCTAAGGTATATTTTCGGGAGCAGGTTATGCTCTTCTACATACCAAGCGATTCGTATAGCAACAATCGCTTCGAGGACCTTGCCGAGTATATTTAACAATATAACTGGCCGGTATAACTTTAGGACTCGGTAGTCCTACAGGCCGGCTTTTCGTAGAGTTACCGTAACTAAGGTTTAGAAGTACCGGGGGTTATGCCCGACCCGGATATATACGTCGAAGATAGCTACGAGAAGTAGGACAAATCTCTTCTCTAATCTTGACCCTGGTTCCGCTAGCACCCGCCATAGCTTATTCGGCAGTATATCGTACCCAGGTACTTTATTCGGTGGTACTTTCTTGATTGCAGCTCTTACTTCGGTTTCGTTTACCGGCGGTAGTTAGAACTACTCTCGATGGCTAGCGTGGATATCGGAGAGATCTACCTTCGGTGGCTATAGGAAGAATACTTTACGGAGTAGATTTACCTTCTCTACGTTAGTTTCTATAGAGTTCCCTTCCCCTATTCGTAATACCGGCATTATGCTTCCCTACTACTAGCCTCTATTCCTAGCCCATTTAGCTACTCTCTATAGTCCCTAAGGGCCTTAGTCGACTACTTCTTTAATAAAGTTTCGGAAGCCGCGCCGGAGAGTAGCTTTAATAACCTTACCCTTTTGATTCCTAGCCAGTTTATATATCTCCCAATCCTCTTCGTCGTATATCGTAAGGTACCGACGGAACATACAGCGGGAGTGTTTAACAGCCTCCCCACACTCCTTGGTCTACGATAGATTGGCGTAGGGGCTCGGTTTGGCCTATAGTGTTGATTCCTACACGCCTCGTTATACGATATCGATCAGGTGGCTTACTACGTCGTCGATCTAACGGGGTATTGTCAATTACGGCGGCATTAGTAGGTTGTCGGCCACTAAGACGTCGAATTTCTCGGTATCCATGGCCTTCTAGAGCCTTCTCTTCTAGGTATCTGATAGTATTATAGGCGTATCGATATCGACTAGTACTCGGATCGGCAGGTAATCTGAATCTACATAACAGTCTAAGGCCAGCTCGCACACTACTAATCTCTCTATAAGATCTAGTGTACCGAAGAACAGGTCGATTGTCGTACGCTCCCCGTTCTAGTCCCTTATGATAGTCCCAGGTTCCAGCCACAAGTCAAGGTCCGCCTCGTCACATAGCTCAATAAGCTTGTCGGCGCCTAGATCCTATATAGCCTCAATGCCTCCCCAGGCAGGGTGATAGAGGTTGAAGTCGCCGGCAATTATAGTATGCTTCCGGCCGCGTTATTAGATGTTATGCTGCTAGTTATCGCCGAGCAGCTTGCTAAGTAGTTCTACTATGCTAGTAGTACCGCATTCGTTATATATATTGAAGAGGCTGATCTCGCTAGTGCCGGTTTATAATCTCACTTCCTGGCAGAACTCGTTATGTGCGTAGTACGTCCACCCGGTCATATTCTTAGAGATATATATACACACCCGTACTCTACTTCCTATCTCTAAGCTAAACGGGAAGAGAAGCTTATATATTTGTTTCAATAGATAGTACGTCGTATCGGTATATAGGTTTTCCCATGGTTCTTATACCGCAATAATATCTACCTTCATGACTCCTGGTTTTGCCAAGAAGTCAGCCATAACGACATCTCTTGATCGGTGCGTATTATATTAGATAATAGTAAATGGTATGTTATTTATTAGAGGTTATCCCAGTATACTTCTTGGTAAATTAGCGGGTTCTCCTCTCCTCCTAGATGCCTACTCTGTTAGTGAATTTTACCGATAGAGCTGATATTATAAGGTTGACCTAGTTATCGAGGGTACGCTTGTTCTTACCCCATAGGCCAGGTATATATACTATTATATTGTTCTTAAAGATAGTGGCGTTCTCCTTACCGGCGGCTCTCTACTTGCTAGCCGATTGACATCTATTGCCGCTGGTGCGGGATAGTACCGACGGCTAGTATTCGCCGGCCGATATAGCCGGCGCCGGTGACGATAGTGTACCTAGCAGTACTACTTCTTGATCTTCGAGAACGTACGCTTCGTCTCTTACTCGCTTCTATACTATACTTGTATCGAGCATAGATCTTATTAGGCCTTTGCTTCTAGTTGTTGTTAATGATGATGTTGATGCCCGGCTGGGTATCCTACGCCTTGGCGGTTTAGATCGTATCTCTACCGGTACGTAAATTAATCGATCGTCTCCCCTTACTAGCCTTTATGCCGACTAGAGGATCGATTCCCTAATTGCGCTTGCCTCCTTATCTCCTACTATAAAAGTGGCTACTAGCGGGGTATCCTCTTACTCGGGCTCTTAGGTCCCCTATATTTCGGTATCCTCCGGTGATATTGGCACCTCGCTACTACTCGCCGGTTGGCCTAAGCTTATTGTCTTAGTTGATACTTCGGGTCTGGTTAGTAGTCTTCGTCCCTACCTAGAGCTATCTTTAGTAGAAGTCCCGGAGCCGCTACCTCCTAGACTCCCGGGTCCTATAGTAGTAGCTACCGGCGTCCTTTCGGTAGCTATTAAGAGGTATACCGGCACCCGGTGATACCGCTCTCTCGCCTACGCGAGAACCTATACTCTCTCGATTTCTCTAATAAAGTCGGGGTACCGCTTCGACTATCTATTATATGCGCCCCCGTAGTTAGCGCACTTTCGTTTACTAAGAGTTACATCCTTTTTACGCTAGTAGTCTCGAGAATGATGTTTCTTAGCGTAAAAGACGCACTTGGTTTCATTAGAATAGGTGTTTCCTATGTGTCCGTATTTCTAACAGTTATGACATTGGCGTATACGCGTAGCACGGTCGTATAGGACTGTAGTAAGCGCCTCCGAGTCCTAGAGTGTTCTAGTGTCGATAGCTTTGTTTGTAGTATACGGTGAGGTGAACTCGACGATCAGTAAGCCAGATTTCTTACCCTCTAGGAGGACTAGCCATAAGATCTAGGTGATCTCCGCCTCCCCCTAGTTGAACGAGTTCTCGGTAAGCAACTGCTTTATAATACCCTGCTTCCGACCTTGCTCTCCGATGCCGGCAGCCGAGTTAATGCCGAGAGATCGTATATTAACATCGTATATAACAACCCCCTAACTCGGCAGGCGCACTTCCGATCCCTTCCACAAATGCTTCACCTAGGTAGTCCGGTGGTATCGTATTATCTCCGCTTCCTTCGTAGTACGAAGGCTAAGCGAGATATCCCCCGACTTCAATTGCCTAGCTGCGACAAACTTAGCGGATGCTACCGTCATACCGTACGTGGCCTTTGCCGCCTTAGCCCGCGCTCTCTCGGCCAGCTTCGTAATCTTAGCCGACGTTTGCGTACGGAAGTGTTTAATGCCATCGGAATCACCTAGTTTGACAATGATCTAGCGGTCCTAGATAAGGTCGGAAGGCGATACGGGGTTAGTCGACGCCGATCCATAGCTTGACAAAAAGTGCGTCGGCGGCGGCGCATTTTTAACGGCGTCGATATATGATCTGACTCGGGTATTCGGCCCTTAGGCTGCTAACGCTGTTGAGACCCTCACTGCATGAATGTCTTGCTTGATCTGGCTGGTTTCCTGGCGTAGCTGTTCAAATTGCTACTTCTAGTCCTAGCTAATGGGGTTCTTAATGAGATCTATAGTGAGCTCCTGAATAGACTTGAGGTATTCGAGCACTGGTCTCGGGACTTTAACAGAGTTGTTACTACTGATATGATTCAGCAACTAGCGTACGTCGTAATTGGCGTCCAATATACGCTCGTTGATGTTGCGTGCAGAATTTTCGCGGCCCCCTGAAAGGGGCGGCCACTGGCTCCCTGGCGCCACCATACCTTCCACCAATATAAAATTGGGGTTAGGAGATGGAGCCGGAAGTTACAATTAACTTGCAATTAAAATGAGAGCTGTAGCCCTCGGCGTTGTGGTGCAATTTCAAAAATTAGATTCGCGCAAAGATATGTGTTTTTTCTTCAGGTGAGGACTATGTGCGCTCCGATGAGGAGGAAGAAGACGAGGAAGAGAAGCAGAAGGTTGCACTTGCGATGGAAACAACATCAATGGTCAAAGGGATGTACGAGAAGTTTGGTCTGAAGCCTAAAACAGGAGAAGAAGGGCGATATACCAAGCTTGAGTCAAATGACTGGGACTACTAAAGCCTGATGTTTGCAAACTTTACGGGGTTTTTCAGTGTATTTAGAACAGCAGACTATGTAGGCGTAACTTATGGTCTACATCACTAAACTCTAGTTATTCAAATTTGTGTCCGCATCTACTCATTCACCTCACCAGAAAAAGGGAGAACACTTGGGAGGAAAGATTACCTTCGACGAACTGATGTCAAGCAGTCGCCCACAGCCAAACTGCTGGGAGTGGTGTTCGACCAAGGACTCCGCTGGAAAGAGCACGTCCAGCAGGCCATCAAACTCGCCACGAAAACGAGCATCGCTCTGAACGGACTACGACACCTGCGGCCTGAGCAAATGCGACAACTCTACCAAGCGTGTGTCACACCAGTCGTGGGCTATGCATCAACGATCTGGCATGATCCGCTTCGAGACAAGACTCATTTGCGCCATTTGCACACAGTGCAGAGAACGGCATTGGTTCGGATTCTGTCGGCCTTTCGAACAGTAGCAACCACAGCCCTCGAAATGGAAGTCCACGTACTTCCCACGCACCTCCGCCTTCGCCGTCGAGCACAGCGCACCATTGTGAGACTACACACACTACCACGGGACCATACTATTTGGGGGGCACTATCACGTGCCCAGAAACGCAGGAACAATATCGGATCATGTGCACGCCTTCCCCTGGGGGAAGCGTTGAAATCCATAATGTTGACAGGCTCAACGAGCTCGAAACGACCGGTGGTCGGTCCACGTCGCGGAACTCGTGGGCATCTTCTACGCGGTGAACACGGTTTTCAAGTTAGCCCATCAACGCCCGATAGTCGGAAGCAGTAGGCACACAACGGCAACAATACTATGTGACAGCAGATCAGCTCTACAAGCAATTCAGAACGCGAGGAACAAATCAGACCAGCGAGTCGCCCATGCAATCGCCATAGCGTACCTGCCGAGAGAAAGTGAACCCGGAATCTTTGGATCGAAATTAAGCCAGTAACTTACCTTTCCGAGGCATCATGACCTGGTGATTAGACAGGGCGGAGTAAATTGTTTTAAATGAAAGCAGCTCTGGAATATTATCCAACTTTTGGTCGAGATTCCATGTGACGGAAGAAAGACCTTTCCAGCTACGGAGATCAGTGAGTCGGGACAAGCTTACAAAGATTTGCTGGCTTTTTATGAAGAGCTATATTTTATTTCATATATATTTCTAGGAGAAGAATAAAACGTCGCCAATATGGATCACCGCAAAAGAAGGCCCAAGGAACAGAGGTTCTTATGCACTATACCGTCGTGTATCTACACCATGGTTGCTTTCAGTAACTTAGTATCAGTGGCATTTGTGTAATGTGTGTAAATTCGTCGACCTCGCGTTCTGTTGATATCTTGAAAGCGATCGGCAAAGTAGTCAGCGGCAGTGGTCACCCTCGTACCATGAAAATCTGGGAAATGCGTAGATATCGGCGAGTAAGCCAGCTTTCTCTTGAATATATCAATCTTATTTAAGAAAATAATGACAGACTTATGCTTGAACTATACGCCGTTAATCAAGGAGTCGAAAAACGCCATTGCTTCGTGCATTTGGTTCTGGGTAAGAGTCGTTATTCATCTGCGCCAGGGTCATAGCATCAATTTTGGATGTACAGCGTTGTGGTCGGGAAAAGTAATATTATAAGACTTAATAATCTTATTAATTACTAGATTCTATATCTTATAGATATATCTATAATCTCCTTTATAGCTAATAAGGTATCCCTCAAAAGCGCGAGTAGCTAACTTTTAAGATTATACCTAGGTCTAGACTGCGACATCGCCCGTCCATGGGCTAGTTTTCTTCAGACAACCGAAATCTTCCTGGCATCTTTCGGACTCTCCGCAATTCTTGATCAGTCCAAGGATGAAGAACTCCGCTTAGTACAACAGAATATATTCATGGACACCATACCATTACTCGTAGTTCTCGCCGCTAATTTCCCAGGTCCCAATTCAATTCAATAGTCTCCACAAATACTCTTAGGCTGACACATATAAGACCTATAAATCCAAAACATGGCATCTAACCTTCATTTCATCTATGCATATATATATATATATATATATGTACTCATAAACTCTATCAGAAAAGTCCGCCGTCACTTCATCCCAGGCTCAAATAATATTCTTCAGCTCCTGTCCAGCAAGAAGCCGTCTCAAGTTATACGCAATAAGCGCCTCAGCCCCACGGGGACGTCCACCAGCAGCATGAGGCGAGAGGATGAGATTAGGCGCAGCATAAAGCTTGGACTCCTTCGGCAGCGGCTCAGCGGAGAAAACATCCAACGCCGCACCACCAATGCTACCCTTCTCAAGTGCCTCAAGCAGCGCATCCTCATCAACAGAAGTGCCCCGGCCAACATTCACAACCCAAGCGTGATTCGGCAGCAACGCCAAGCGCTCAGCACTAAGCGCACCGTTGGTACTCGCCGACCCAGGCAGAATCATAACCAAGGCATCGGTCTTAGGCAGAATCTCTTGCAGGCGATCCTCTGCAACAACCTCAAACCCATTTCGCACACCGGTACTCCGCGCAACACCGGTAACATTAGCTCCGAGCGTAGTCAACACGGGTGCAAGGTTCTTGGCAATATTTCCGAATCCCCAGATGGTAATATTAGCACCCTTGAGGGTACGGAAAGTGCCTGGGGCACGGTCAGGCTGGGGGCCGCCCAGGTGGGCGGGCCACTCGCCGCGGGACTGGTAATCGCGCATCTCATAGAAGCGACGGGCTGCATTGAGGAGCAGGCCTAGGGTGTGCTCAGCGACTGTTTCGTCGTGTAGGCCGGAACCGGTTGTGATAGCGATGCGGGAGGCATCGAAGCCTGCACCGAGGACGTCGTTTGGGCCGGCTGCTAGCGACTGGATCCAGCGGAGATTCTTCATACGGGACGCTGCATCACGGAGGTTTGTGGGTTTGTTGCTCCATGTTACTAGGAACTCGGCGTCGATTAGGGGTTCGGGGATTGGGAGTGTGACGTCGTAGGGGTGTAATTCGACGGAGAAGCCTTCCAGGGACTTTGTGTCGATATGAAGAGAGGTAGGGTAGAGGAGTTTCATTTTGAGGGCCCGTTGGAGGTGATTTGACAGAGTCTTGAGGCGTTGGCTGGGTGACATGAAGAGGGGATGGTCAAGGTTCTTATGCGAGAGGAGAGGAGTTGCAACGCGGGGTCGGCGGAGCCCCGCCGAGACCGGGGTAACTCCGGCAGATGCCAGCCTCGGGGTGATCAATGAAAACTAGTAATGTAATTCGGTCTACGTGGCTTTAGGCGTATTAGATGATCATAGCAGGTCAGTAGTTAAAGTAGGGTTAAAAAAAGGTTGAAGAGTCTGATTGAAACGTTTTATAGGGAGTTAGTAATAAGCAGACGGTCAAAATCCAGGGGAAAAGAGACTACTATAACCTCAGCCAGTACTACCCGACATGTATTCACATATGCACATCCTTTACGTCTGGCGAAATGAAAGTGGCGGCAGGGGCGGATGCGAAATGAAAGAGAAAGCAATGAGTGCAAGATACAGAGGACGGAAAAAAGAGGGCGAGGTCGAGTCTTCATGCCGGGGGCCTTGAGTACGGACTACTGCGGGCGACGGAGAAATCGTATGTCGTGGAGGTCGCAGGGTAAATGGTTCTAGTATTCCTGATGGAGAGAGCACCTTATATTTACTATATTCAGGGTACGACTCGGAGAAATTCAAATCTCGCATACTAGGCAGGTAGAGACAATAAGCACAATGGGTATCAGTCAATTCGGCCACAGCCTACAAAAAGGACAAGCTATACAGCAAGAGATATACAAAGAACAAGAATATATATGGGGGAATCATAATCCCCAACACCAATTCTCCACCTACGAAGTACCATCTTTCTCAAGAGGAATCTCTGTTTCGGCTTCGACAGCACCGGTACCCGTCAAAAAGAACTCGAGCTCACTAGGCCCGCCCTGCGAGTTCTCATTTTCAGCGAGCTGTTCCAACAAGCTCAGGAAGGGATCTTTTTCAGACGCGCCCTCGCTGCCGGCTGTGGTGTGGGTAGCGCTAGTTTGGGACTGGGCACCTGGGGTCTGTGCGGTGGGGCCTGACTGCGCCATTCCGTTTAGGCTTGCGTGGGCGGTGTCGAAGGGAAAGGTTGCGTATTGGGGATTTGGGGGCGGTGTTGGTGCTATGTTCATGGCGGAGTCGGTAAGAAAGGCTGGCGGTGAGAGGCCAAAGGCCGAGGGAGAGAAGCCTGGGATGGAGAGGTGGGAGTTTTCTGTTGTACCGGCACCAGGTAGGTCTGCTCCGATTGGGAGGGAGAAGACGGAGGGCAAGGATGGTGATTGTTGGTGGTGGTTATTTGAGATCGCTTGGAATTGTAGGGTTGGCGAGAGGGAAGTCGGGTGAGAGGGTTTCCGGGACAGAGGATGAGAATGGGAGTGGCGACGGTCGATATCTAAGCTCTGGGTGGATGCTAATGGACTCGAGGGTCCAGGCCTTGTATTTGAGAAGTAGGATGAAGCATTCTGATAGGAGGGTGCGGCCATTGGCCGTTGGAAGTAATGATCTTGGCGATCAATAAAGTTTGCTGTACTGTCTCCGGAGTTAGTGACCATATAATACGTATGCAAAAGGATGGAATCAGCAGTCGACGTACCTTGGAGCTAGTTCATCCCCCGCATCTATGAGCCGAACGTGTGATCCATCTAACGTCAGACCGGGATATCGGTCGAGAAAGTCTTCAAGGTGGAAGACTGGGGAGAAGCGCATCGGGCTACTAGCAAGATTGCGCACCAGTTCGGAGTGACACGTATAGATAGTCTGGAGCAGCTCACGTTGATGCTGCGCACCAGTCCAAATATTGCGCAACCAAGCAAGCTGGTGCATCTCCCGAGTCAGGAATTCAGCGCTAGAAGAGAAAACCTCTCCTTCACGCCCCTTGTAGTGCACACCGTGAACATGTACAGTCCCCGCTGTGCACACACAGTAGCCGACGAAAGCAGGCCACTCAATCAGCGGAGAATTACGACCCAGTTCAACGAGCTCTGCGATGGCATTGGAGTGCGAGAAACACAAGTTCGTCGCCTCGATTTGCCAGGACTGATGCTGTCCCGTACCTCTGAGCTCTACCAGATCAATAGGTAGGAACGGGCGGTAGATCAAACAGTGCACCAAATGGTAGATCAACTTGCTTAGCAAAAGTGTTGTACTCTCGGGATGACCGAACAATGCATCGATTGACGCAAAGACGTCCTGCGTACCGGCCGCCCAGATATCCAATTCTTGTCGGATCTTAGATAGATTAGAGAGCGCATGCCATGGAAAGTGAGAGTCACCTTTGACTCCGCCAGCTGCCAGGTACTTATTGGTGACACCAAGAATACGCGTGATGTCAATCAGCAGAGAGGCAGCACTTGGTGATTTGCGCCGGGAATCAGCAGAATATTGAATGTTCGGGCCGACGTGGAAGAGCTCTCCCTCCACGTTCAGACCCGCTGCGTGTGGTGACCAAGACGGTAGGCGCAGAACAATCGAATGATCGGCAATCAGACATGGACGTCGGGATCCACAATTAATGAATCTGTCCATCAAGTAAACAGACCAGAATAGCCGACGCCTCATTTCTCGCTCGGCGGCCGCGATATTGGACTTAGCGGGAGCCTCGCGGTACAAATCCAGAGCGACGATCATGGCCACGCAATTTGCTGATCATCATTAGTGAAATTCATTCAACCATGTACGATCGAGGGCTAAGCATACAGAATGTCATATAAGCTTTCTTCCCTAAACCGTAAGCGTAGAAAGCTTGCGAAAGCAACAATAGAGTCTGCAGTCCTTCCACCGTGGGATTGTCGACATCAATCATGCGTCTTGCCTGTAGTGCTGCATCGAGACCGGTACGTAGTGACTGCTCTACTTGGCCAGGCAAGGTTGTGTATCTGAGATACGTCAGTCAAACATGTAAAGCACGCGACAGGACTTGGAAGCTTGGCAATTGTACCTTACTGTCAATGCTGAGATAGCCATGGCCAGGGATGGAGGCAATTTGTTCAGTTGATGGCTCTGTCGCGTTGTCGCCTCGTCTAGTATATAAGACGGTTTACCGTGTAATCGCTCAAAGTAAATATCGAGGATCGCATCCGATAGGGGTCCATTGGTTGTCGGAGAGGGCTGTTGGACAAGACTTGCCGGGTGGCCGGTCGGCCTAGAGAAGGGATCCACATTTTGCGAGAAAGAATTTGACAGAGCGGATCGATCGCTTGAGGAGTAAATACTAAAGGAAGTGTCGATGGTGTTGCGACGAGTGGGAAAGCTCGGCGGATCGTCCGGCGTATCGGGAGAAGTGGGCGAAATAGGGTTCTTCTCATCGTGGAGTCTTTTCTCCAACCCATCGACCCGCTTGAGGAGAGCTTCTAGTACATCGGTCTTGGGGCCCCGTTTTTTGGGGACGGCATCTTTGAACGTAACAAAATCAACGGGGGAATCATGTGATGTGGAGGGGACATGCTTGACTTACCATAAAGACATGGGCACTGGAAGACCTTACATGCCTCGCAGCTCGGTCGCATACGATTACATTTGATCTATGACGAGTTAGAGCCAACCAATCGCACTCATACTGACTGGGCCGACCTTGCGCTTGCGACAGGATTTGCAGTTCATGGTTTCGCGTGGCTCGACCGTCGCACGACGGGGCGTGAGACGGTCGATGCTGACCTGAGGACGAGACATGGCACATCTACATGGAAGAGAAAAATGAAGATGAAGATGAAAAGAAGAAAGAAAACGGCCAGGGCCAAGATGGACAAGAAGTCAAGCGCATGGTTGTGGCTTGAAAAAAAAAGAGCCTATACCACAACCAGGTTGCGGAGGAAAGAAATGCGGAGAAGTTGATGTGCCGCCGGAATTCCCCAGTTTAGGCTGACATGGGGGATATTATACATGGATACCTTTGAACTCCGTATATTCCTGACTATTAAGATATTAAGATTAATATGTACTCTGTAATATTCTTATATATCTTATATATCTTATGTTTTCTTATTCTGTTGAGTTTAATTTACTTCAAACATGTCATTCAACTTATAAACCAATCCATTCCCCTTTAATTTGATATAGGGCGGGATAGATTTCCTTTTCTGGAACACACCCACCTTAGGCTTCCAACGCCAACATCCGGGATGATCCAGGAACCCCATAATTACAGCATAATTGCAGGTAATTTCACGTTGCAGTAGCTTGACTTATTCAACCAGTAAATAACTATATTCTGTCCATCCTTCCCCCCCCCCCCATTACGGGGTACCCTATTGTTGCTTGGACCCCCTATTAAGTCCCCTCAATTTACCCGAAGTGTCTCCTGCAGAAACGATTCCCATTACTTAACTGCACGTGAATGGGTGTGGAGTACCGGAGTAACGGAGTATCAAACCTATTGCTATTATTATTGGCCCCCGCTTATTACGCCTTCCAAGATTCTCCCTAAGCTTGATAACCCCGTTCGATCCCAACCTTGATCATCCCCTGAGGCTACTATATTCGATACGGGACTTCCATCCTAGTCTTCTTTTTAACTTTTTAAACCCTTCGTGCTTATTTACACAGATCATATGCTCTCCTTTATTCTGAAATGCCAAGCAACACTAGGTGCTGTAAGTGTTCCAAGGTGGCTTGACACGATTACTCTATTTAGTGTCTACTCCGTGTACTCCGTACCCCTAAAATCTATATACATACACAAAAAGTGAAATATCAACCTCATTGTCCAGGCAAAACCTTCCCCCTCATCACAAATTCCGCCATATCCCTCGCCCTCCCACCCATCCTCTCCAACCCCTGAACAACACCACCACGATCATTAACCGGCCGTTCCTGACTAACCTTAAACCGGCCCTCAATCCGCGTGATTTCAATCTTCATCCCAACAATATTCTTCAAAAGCGCCGCAATGTACTCTAGTGGCGCATCTGCGATTTTCCAAGGTGCCGGCGTCGATTTCGGCAATGCCATGCGGTCGCCATCCCCGCTAGCCCCGGTCGCCGCAGTCTTCACCCCCTGATTCAGCTCCAGCTGCAGCTCCAGGTCTGTGCTGTGGTTCTGGTTCTGGTCTTTGTTTTGGGGTGGATCCCCATCCCCATTCTCAGTTCCACTTCCACCCCCGTGTTTGACATCAGACCCCGAAGTCAACCCAGATTCATCCTGAAAGCCCATTACTCCTTCCTCTCCAAGCTGGGCTAAATCACCCAGCTGTCGTCGTAAAAACAGCTCCGTTTGCTCGTCCTTCGTGTCATGGTAGATAGTTGCCCGACCGTAGACCTGCACTGCAGCGTAATTCCATGTCGGAGCAACCCTGCCCGTGGCCGGTTTGGACTCTATGTAGAAGTTCGGGGTGATGTAGTGGTCTACTGGGCTAGTGAAGACGATTAGGACCTCACCAGGGAGTGTATGGCCTGTGGATGTCATTGGTTCTTCTTCAGAACTTGTTATAGGAAATGCGCCTGGGATCCTGATTGTTTTGGTGCTGTGCTCTGAGGCAGATTCTACAATTGCTTTGCTTTGCGGGTTTTGGCGCGCGATGTGGCCGCGGAGAACTCCCAGAGAAGGAAGGGGCGATGCCGGGGTGTTTCCATCGGCTATTTTTGCTTTAGTTGATGGCTCATCTTCCAGGGCTGTTTCACTGTCCAACACCCAGGGGATGTGGCTGCATTGGAGGGTCGGGTGATTCTTCAAAGGCAGGGAAGTGGTAAGGACGCCTAATGGATGTTGTTTGATGAAGGCGTGAAGGGTTGGAAGGTCTCGGACTGCATGATCGGGACGTAGATGCATTTTATTTTGTGTGAATTAGGAAAGAAATATATATCCAGAGCTAAAGAGAAACGGGGCCTAGGGTAAGGATGAAAGGAGGGGTTGACCACGGAGTTTCTGATAGGTTCTTATCTTGCTACATTTATATATCGCTTACAGTTGATCATACAAAACACATAAATGAGACGATAAATAAAGCGCCTTTCTTAAACTCAAACTAGCCACCACACTATGGATCTCAGATGATGCAGAGAACCCTACAAAAACCGATCATATAATCCCTACTCCAAACCCCTAAAACAAGATTCTAATCAATATCAAGCTCAATATCTATTGTGTCAACAACAGACAAAAAAGCCGAACCACAAATAACATAGGTAGGTATGCAGTATACTATACTATATAACTAAAACAAAGGCCTTCCAGACGCCATGCGCACAAAGTCAAACGGCACATTCTGCCCAACAAGCAACCTCAGCGTCTCAACAGTAGTCCAAGCGCTGACATCTCCAACCCCATACGCCGTCCACCCAGCACTAGTAGCAACAGCCAAAGGATCACCCTTCCTCGGCCCACTAGTCAGATCAAGATAAACCTTCCCACGAGTCGAAGGCGGCGATGAACGACCATTAACACCATAATGCCTTAGCAGAGGTTGCACGAGTAGCGATTTCTCCGGCGGCAGCGCAGAGACAATAACAAATGGCTGCTCAACCCTTTTGACGGATTGGATGGATGTGAAGGGCTCAAGACCTGCAGCTAGCGGGCCACTCGCTTTAAATCCGACTGTGTAGATTGTACCAACGGCCAGACTGCGTAGTGCGAAGATTGCCGCTGAAGCGTCTGCTTGGGAGCCGGCGAGGATGATCGCTGCGCGGCTGCTGTATGCGGATGGAACGTATTCGCGCGTCAGGGTTGCGCGGATGCCCTTCCAGGCGGCGTTTTCACCGATGAATCTGGAGGTTCCTGGTGCGCTGTCGCCCGGTGTCATGGCGATTGTGTCGACTAACCCAATTGCGCGGGCTGCGTCACTGACTGCGGGGATAAAACCGGTTGTGGCTGGGACTGGGGGGCTGAGGTAGGCGCCGCCGAAGTGCGGTTGAAGGAGAACGGGTTCTATGGAGCCCTTTGGGCCACGATCGATTGAAGTGAAGTTGTGGGGGAGGCCGAGTTCGTTTAGACATTTCTCCATGAACATTGAGTGTGGGGTTGAGCGGAATGAGCCGATGGCGTAGAGCTCGCGTTTCGGAAGTTGGCCCATTATGTGTAGGGCTTCATTGATCTCCGCTGCGGTGAGCTGGCCGGGAGCGGCGATCATTGGGAGGAGAGGGTGGGTGATTGGAGAAAAGACGGTGTTGAGGGCTCGAGATAGCTGGCCCATTTGGCCCATGTTGACTGCTGACAGGGGTGGGCCTGAGCCGCGGCTTTTGATGGTAGAGCGGAAGTATTCTAGTTCATAGTTCTCCTCGATTGTGTGGACCATGGCGATCATCTTCACGATGTCGGCGTATTTGGCGCTTTCCGTAAATATGCGCTGCGCCTCTTCCGATGTCCACTTCCAGGTCCCAGAGAAGTCATGGAACGCAGATAAAATCATACTATGGCCCTTTTTCTCAAACAACTGGCGCCGGATCTCTTCTGGCAGCCACAGTTCCACATCAATATACTCAACTCCCCACTGTATCGCTCGGCGAAGGTACTTGTAAAAGAGCGCAGGGTCGTCTACCGGAAACTTCCCGTTCTCTCTTGTACAACGAACGGTGAAGATAATCGGCAACTCAGTGTGCTGCCGCAACAGCATCAACTGCTGACCCACATACTTCAAACTCGGAACAGGTGGATTGGTCCAACCCTCCGGCACAGGCTCAACTAGTAAATCCACACGGATTTCAACAGCATCAGATCCCACAGACAGGATATCCAAATTAGGCAAAGCAGCATGCACATCAGGAAAAGTAGTCGAGATAAAATTCGTCCTGGTCTTCGTCCGCAAATCATCATGCGGCCTCGTCTGACCGAAAATCAACGACAAAAACCGCGACAGATCCCGGCGCAGGAACGGACTCCGCGAATATAAAAACTCATAATCACAGCGCTCGGTGAGCGAGTCTTCCGGTGCAGACCCATCTTCCACACAGTACGTGTTTACCAAAACCAAGGATGATCGCTCACATCCTTGCAAGCTCCGTGCTAGATCGTGCGTTAGGATCCCCACAACCACTGCATCGCTGGCTCGCGCAATCTTCCCAAGCGATGTGTCCGTTGTCCATGGCTTGCCCAAAATCTCCGCTACCAGTTGTACGATATGCTCTTGGTTCTGCCCATAGATGATCACGACAGTCCTCGCGACAGCGTCGGCGGCCGGCGCAGCGATGCCCGCGGCTATCTGGTCTTGGGTCCCGGTAGGCGGAGGATCGTGAGAGAGGATTGTTGTAGCATTGGAAGGAACGGGGATATTGGTGTTTGCGCTGGGAGGATCCTGAGCCTTGAGGGCGGAGGAGACAGGGGGATCGTCGAGCAGCGGCGTGGCCATATGCTGCGGAAAGGCTGTCGGAATCATGGCATAGCAGTCCCAAGTGTTTTCATACTTCGTGCTGGTGAGGATGTATATGCAGGTCGAGGTAAGTGTCAAAGACAGGTGGAAATGGGAGTCGGGGAGAGGGGGAAGGAGCGCAAGGACCCGGTATAGGCTTTGTGTAATTCGCTTCTCAACGGTCAGAACCCCGGGTATCGTAAGAGGTAGGTAGTATCAGAGCATATATTTTTTACAAAAACAATTAGGAAAAAGGGAGCGGGCCGAACGAGGCTAGCTCCAAGGTATATGGGGTAATTGGGGCAAGTTGGATAAAGCGACGCTAAATCAATCCCAGGCGGGTAGAGGTATTAAACCCAGCCGCGAGGATCAGCAAGGATCAGAATGGAAAGCCATTTGGGGCGACATGGATCGATGGAAGAACTTGTTGCGTAGGTTCCACCTAATGCGCGACAATGGAATCCCACGCAGACGGCGGACGCGGGGAAAAGTGGGAAGCGGCGTTGGGTTTCTCCACCAATCACCGGTGGCGACATATAACTATACTGCATGTAGATATGGGAATTGGAGTTCTATTCAGTGGAATAAGGAGTGTACAGTATTGATTGGCTTACAAATCTTGCCAATTGGCACATTTACAACTAGCTATGTTCATATCAGCCTATGTAACATCAAGCTAGTTGGAGGCACCGGCGTGATTCGGTGATAACCTGACAGGGGCTCTGCACTACAGCGCTATGATCCGATACGAGGGAAAATCACCAATCTAAGCCAGTCTCAGCCTCGGCCATGGCTAATGATCGGCTTTTGAACGGATGTTACCTAACCTGTTGTATCCGAGAGAGACAGGTAAGCAACGAATCAGACACCAGGATTGGTGGAAGAGTACATTGATACTCAAGGGGCAAAGATGAGGAGATGGTTCCATATTCATAAAGTACACAATAAAACAACGATCTATGTATTGTTCTTTCTGTCCTTGATGCACGAAAAACAACCAGAACCAAGTGACAGCGTCAAATAGGATCTGAAAGGAAAATACGCCCGAAGAATAGTCATGAACTGCATAGCGTAGGCACAGATGATGATTTGACACCGAAAAGGCAAGAGATATGAAAAAAAAAGAAAGACAGTATCGAGACTAGATCCGCCTAGCATTGTATTTCAAACAACCAATTAAGACACAAGGAGAGAAAATACTAGCCAAATCAATAGGGGGTATTGGGTAGTAACAGGCACCGAGGAAGGAAAAGGGAGAAACGCAGGCCGAGAGATAAGAGGGGGGGAAAGGGCAAGAAAAGCTGAGAGTTATTGGTCCAGAGAATAAACACGGATGTATGTATCAAGATCAGGCACACAAATAACCACCACGTCGCTTTGCAAACCAAGATGGCGCTTTTAGGGGGTTTGTTCATGGTTCCGTGCATCAAGCCGGAATCAACACTATGTACGAGAACAGCAACGCAACCGAAGATCGGCGTGTGGGCTGTTTGACATCTTTCGAGATGTCGGGTGTGTACCATGACCGATCATGGTAGGTCAGGCAAGGGAAATAAGTTCAATCGGGAGAGAGGCCAAAGGTGTGCAATCGGATGCAGCGTTCCATTTCCGGGATATTAGCGGAAAGTGAGAAGTTTGGCCGAGCCAGCGGCCGGTCATTGTCAGCTTGGATCGACACACATGCCCAAACTAAGATACGCAGGAGGCAATATGCACTCCATTTTTGCTCATCGTCGGATGAGACATGGAAAGCGCAACGCCATCAATCGGGGAAATCGAGACCCCAGCCGGAGTTAGAAGGGGTTTCAGGTTTCAGGCTCGCGCAAGGAAACAGAAGAAAGTTGTTTCAAGAAGGTGGACATGGCACATGGCCCGCCCACACAGGACCCACCCGCACAAGGGCAGGGCAGATAACGATGAAATGATAGACGGGGGACTCGCGTGTAGAATCGCACCAATTAACTCGGCGGAGAGATGGCGAGGCCTTTCATCATTTTGGGCAGCGGCTTTCTACGCGCAGTATTTGCCGTCTTGGAAACCCGTGGTGCACCGTGGATCATGCGGGGTTCTGTCATCAGGCTAGTATCTAGGTTTGCCGGTGCTACGGGGAGATGGTCAGTGGGAGGATTGGCTTGGGGGTTGGAGCCTTCGAGCGTACCTCTTGTTGGAACTCTGCCGTAGTCGGCTGAAAGATTCTGCTGGCTGCGGCTGTTTGGGGTGAAGGAGGTAGCGTTGGCTGTACGCCACAGATGGTTCGAGGTATCTGAGAGGAAGTCTGTTGTCGATCGGCCAGAGAAAATGGATGTGCGGCCACGGTTGCGCTTTGAAAGGACAATCTCGTCGAACAGGGTCATACGCGGGTCCTTCGACTTCGGGTTCGTTCGCTCGCGGTCACTGATGAACTCGTTGAAGCCTATGATTGGGTCAGTATTTCCTCCGCGGTGCGATATGAGAACTCGGCAACCTACCTTGTGTCTGTTGCAGAATTGCGATGTACTCGGCGTGCTCGCTTGGAAGGCTCTTCATGAAAGCCTCCATGTTGAAATTGTAATACATGCCGGACTTCTTCTTATCGCCACTGGCCGGTAGAAGGAACTTCTTGTACGTGTAAAACAAGCTGGCAAAGCATCTGACAAAGGCCGCACGGATCTGATCCGGATGGAAGGCTGCGTCACACGGCAGACACACCATGGACGCGCAGCGGTTGTGGACTATCAGTTTGCATGCAGAGCATTTATACATATTTTCCTCCGCCAGATCATCACAGATGGCACATGTCAACTTGTCATCCCAGGGTTGGACTTGGAAGAAGTGACCCTCGGCCCAGCAAGTACCCTCGTTATTGCCCACGGCCTGGTATGTGGATTGAGGGACAATTGTAGAAGCAGCGATGGTCGACTGTGCATACACAGACGGTGCATATGTGGATCCGGCACCGTAGTCAGTGTTGAGAGTTGTCACTGAGAGATTCGAAGCATGACCCAGGAACGGCGCACTTGGACGTCGACTCATTCCAAACGACGAGCTTCGGCGTGAGGCGGCATCAAAATGACCAGAACGCTTCTCGCGCAACGAAGCTTGCAATGCCATCCCGGAATCATTACGTGACGAGGGGGCCGGTGGAGGAGGGAAGAAGCCAGAGGTAGGCGAAATCTCTCTCGGGGATGGCGGAGAGGCACTAGCTCTCAGAGTGGAGCTAGTCCCTGGACGTTCACTACCACGGGATGATGAGTACCCACGAGATGAACCGCCCTCACTTCGGGCGTGCAGGAAGACGTTGAAGATCGGAGGTGTGTAGGAGCCTGGCATCACGGATGTTGCACCGAATGCACTGGAGTTAAGACCGACATATTTCGCGAGGTTAGTTGCAGGCGCCTTGGATGTGAAACTGGCCTTGCTCTCTGACATGAACGAGTCCCATGGGTATGTCTCGATTGCATAAGCAGGAGGCCCGGTGGGGACGTGGTATCGACCGTGTTGAGGGGCGGCTAGTTGCAGCAAGGAGAGGAGCTTCCTGCGCTGATGACGTGGAAGAGAGGTCGGTTGGATGGTGCTTTCGATCATATTATTGTCCAGATCCACCAGGACAAAGTCGTCCGTGGGCAGCTCCACCTTCTCGTACCGACGCTCGATACCCACGATGTATGGGCAAGGGGCCTCCAGAGCCTGAATTAAGCGCGCAGGAAGAACAGGAATGAGAACACCTGTCCATTCCAGAGGGAACAAAAGATCGACCAACGCTCTAGTCGCGAGATAGAGCATGGAGGTGTGGGAAGACAAGAAGATGATACGGGATTCAGTAAGAGCGTACTGTGTGTTGTTAGCATTGTCTCTTATCGACTGAACTGGCAAAGGAAGCCTACCTCAAAGAGAATGATAATATTGGGAACCGACAAAGTCCGGAACAAGGCATAGAGATCAGTCTAGGAATTAGTTAGCAAAAGATTCGATAGAGAACTCAATTAAGATTGCGGAGCACTTACATTGCGAGAACCGGGGATCTCATTGGGCGCCTCTTTACGTGCGAACAACCGCAGCTCACGAATCGCAATCTCGACCTGAGTCTTCGAGGATATTGGACAGAACGCTTCTGTACAGAGATTCATGACATATCGCTCCAGCGGTTGCCATACACCCATGCGCGGCGAGGGCGGAGGCACATGCTGTACACTACCCTCTGTCATGGGCACCACGACAGCTTTGAGCCATTCCTTCCAGAAGCTCGTCATTGTGCTCTCTCGACCCAAGATGCCGTATGCACGGGGAATCCAGAACCCAGTATCACCATCCGTCAGACCCTCGATCTTGGAGGCTGCGCCGTGCCGGACCGGACGGAGGAGATCGGTCATTAGCCCAATCTTTTCCTCCACGGCGCTGATATCATCTTCGAGCTGTTCGCGGGATTCAGATCCGGATGGGACAGTCGGCAGCTGGGCTAGGAGCCGGGACAATTTGGCCCGCTCTGATGCCAATCGTTCGCCCAAGCTTGCGGCCAGCTCACGCTCCTCGTCTGTCATGTTGTCCTTTCGCCATTCTTCGCAGCGCTTCTCGAGCTCCTCCGCGGCATTTTGGTTGAGCGGTATCCAGATAAGCACACAGATGGCGTGTAGCCTAGAGCCATTGTCTGTTGTCATGGCGAATCCGTGCCAGGTAGAGCGCGGCCGCTGATCGGAGGAGACGATGTTGACATCGTTTGGAAAGGCGAACATAGGGACGTAGTCGGGGAAAGTGCCGCGCTGCTTCATCTCGTCTGGCATGCCGCGTGTGGGGTATCGGTCGAGGAGAACCGGCTCGAATCGTCGTTTCAACGGGTGCATGGTGGGGGAGATCTCGAGGGGTTGCGGGACGGGGATTACCGAGTTGTAGTTGCTAAGTCGTCGAGAGGTTCGCACCGAAGCTGAAGATAATCCATTGTTAGCCAGTGCATCCACAGAAAGTCTCACGATCCCGTCCCCGAATGGGAAACAAAGTTGACAAAGGGTTCTCACATTGACGGGCAA